AGGAAGTCCAGAGGAAAAAGGAGCTGGAAAATTGGAGACAAGTTGCTCGAGAGTAACTTTAATATTAATACATTGAATTTACTCTCAAGCAACTTGTCTCCAACTTTCCAGCTTTTTTTTCCTCAGGACTTCCTACATCTGTGACACCCCACATGGAAGAAAAATATATTTTAAATATATTTTAAAAATATTTTTCTTAAATACATTGACATATATTTGAAATAGTACAATTTTGGGCGTATTCAATATATCAATATATTTCAAACAAACAAATAAATAAAAAAATTATATATATATATACACACATATATATACACACATACAATATATATATATATTATATTTATATTGCATGTATACAAATTATATGAAAAATATTTTTTTAAGAATAATTTTTCCATTCCATTTATTTTGTATATATGAAAAAACAACACATTTCAACATGTTTATGTTTTTATATATATATATATATATATATATATATATATACAGTTGCAAGAAAAAGTATGTGAACCCCCTTGGAATTACGTGGAGTTTTGCACGAACTGGGCATGAAATGTGCTCTGAATGTCATCTAAGTCACAACAATAGAAGAATACAGTCTGCTGAACATAATACTACACAAACATTAGATGTTGCCATGGTTTAATTGCACATAACATGTAAACATTCACAGTGCAGGGAGGAAAAAGTATGTGAGGCCCTAGCTTAATGACTTCTCCCAGAGCTAATTGGAGCCAGGAGTGAGCCAACCTTGACTCCAATCAGTGTGATGATATTGGATGTGTTGCTGACAGCTGTCCTGCCCCTAAAAAACACACACCTGTTTTGGGTTTACTGGTTTCAAGAAGCACTGTCTGATGTGAACCATGCCTCGCAGAAAAGAGCTCTCAGAAGACCTACCATCAAGAATTGTTGACTTGCATGAAGCTGGAAAGGGTTACAAAAGTATCTCCAAAAGCCTTGATGTTCATGTGTCCACGGTAAAACAGACTGTCTACAAATGGAGAAAGTTTAGCACTGTTGCTACTCTCCCTGGGCGTATCCGTCCTGTAAAAATGACTGCAAGAGCACAGCGCAGAATGCTGCATGAGTGGTAAATAAGAATCCCAGAGTGTCAGCTAAAGACCTACAGAAATCTCTGGCACATGCTAACATTTTGTTGACACATCTACAATAAGGAAAACATGAAACAAGAATGGAGTACATGGGAGGACACCACGGAGGAAGCCATTGCTGTCCAAAAAGAAGTTTAAATTGCAGCACGTTTAAAGTTTGCAAAAGAGCACCTGGATGTTCCACAGCACTACTGGCAGAATATACTGAAAAAGAGGACAGATGAAACCAAGATTGAGTTGTTTGGAAAAAAAAAGAAGAACATACAACACTATGTGTGGAGAAAAAAAGGCACAGCACACCAACATCAAAACCTCATCCCCACTGTGAAACATGGCGGAGGGAGCACATCATGGTTTGGGGCTGCTTTGCTGCCTCAGGGCCTGGATGGATTGTTGTCATTGATGGGAAAATGAATTCCAGAGTTTATCAAGACATTTTGCAGGAAAACGTACGACCATCTGTCCGCCAACTGAAGCTCCCGCAGAGGATGGGTGATGCAACAGGACAATGACCCAAAGCATACAAGTAATTCAACAAAACAATGGACCTCTGCAACAGCACAGAATACGCCCTTCTGGAGTGGCCCAGTCAGAGTCCTGACCTCAACCCCATTAAAATGCTGTGGCATGACCTTAAGAGAGCGATTCACACCAGACCTCCAAAGAATATTGCTACACTGAAACAGTTTTGTGAAGAAGAGTGGTCCCAAAATGACTCCAGATCATTGTGCAGGTCTGATCTGCAACTACAGGAAACATTTGGTTGAGGTTATTACTGCCATAGGAGGGTCAACCCAGTTATTAAGTCCAAAGGTTCACATACTTTTTCCTCCCTGCACTGTGAATGTTTACATGTTATGTGCAATTAAACCATGGCAACATCTAATGTTTGTGTAGTATTATGTTCAGCAGACTGTGTTCTTCTATTGTTGTGACTTAGATGACGTTCAGAGCACATTTTATGCCCAATTCATGCAAAACTCCACGTAATTCCAAGGGGTTCACATACTTTTTCTTGCAACTGTATATATATATAATGTTAAAATTAGTTTTTTATATATTACAAACTATAGTAGAAAAAAATATTTTTAAAAATATATATTAAAAAAAAAATATTCTTCAGATTTTATTTAACATAGAAAAAAGTAATTTTAAACGCATATTTCTACATATATTTGTAAATGCATTCCAAAAATGTAGATTAAAATTTATTTTTAAAGACATACAGTATATTTGAAAATGTATTTTTAAAAATATTTTTTTCATATATTTTGTAATAAAAATGCACTTCAACATACCATATATATATATATATATATTGAAATATATTTGAAATATATTGAATTCTGCCAAAATTGTAGTATTTCAAAAATATGTCAGTATATTGAGAAGAATATTTTTAAAATATATTTAAAATATATTGTTCTTCCATGTGGGACAACTGATAAGAAATACAAGCAACTAAATGTTATAAGTCAAGGATGTTCTTATTTATCATTAATATTATTATAATACAGGATTTATATAGCTCCAGCAGTTAATTCTACGCTTTACATCGCAGGCAGTACAATAGGAATCGGAGGTCCCTGATTATTTGAGTTCCTCTTGAAATTGGAATCCCCACAGGTACAAAATGTCACAATTTGGCCCCTTTCCCCCAGCAAACTCTTTCCTCAACACAATACACCATAGTCAGGACCTCGGTCTGAACCTGCGACCTCTGCTGTGTCTGATGCTGTCGCTTCTTGCTGAGCCACCTGAGATACTACACAGCCTCCTGAAAAGTTACTGCCTTGAACCTTGTTTCTGGTGAACCTTGAACTCTTTGCTTCTTCCATAACTTTTTTTATTTTGACCATGCCTTTGCATTTCCTGTTTGCCAGATTGTTGTGCCTTCTCCAGCCAATATCGTGCTCTTGTCACTTCTGCTGCCAACCGTGTTTTAGCTACTACGCGTTTGTAGGCAGGTGCAGTTTCTTTCCTCCAGTGTAGGTGGCGCACAACCAGAGTGGTACTGCAATTGGAGAGGAAGTCAGGAGAAGCTTTGTCTATGGTTTCCTCAGTCCAGTCTTGGTTTTGGCAAGCATTTGACTAGTACAGGGGAGTTCACCCACCTGACAGGGACAGCACTAGTGGTAGGGAAAGGTTCCCGTGGAATTGGGAAGGCATAGGGCCTATGTATGCACTCCCAGAGGCTCCCACTTTGCCGCACACCGCCTCCATCAGCAGGCACTGCCAGAAGCTTGGGTCTAAACTACTGACTCTCCACTGCATTGACAGTGAGTTCCCAGACAGGCGTTCTAAACCGCGGGGTTGTTGTAACTGCTCTGCAATTCTTTATATGTTGGTTTTGCATCCCAGGTCTTAGTGTCATCACTGCCGCCGCGCCACCACAATTGATCCTTAACCCTCTCCCACACCATTACCAACCCTTGGCTTGATCCTCTAACACTTTTCCGCTTGATTCCATTCTGCAACCCACACCTATTACCGACCTTCGGCTTGTTCCTTGACTACAATTCCGCTTGATTCCAACCTGCAGCCATAATCTCATTGCCAAAACCTGATTGCGGGGAGCACCCGCTTGGTTTGTTCCCACCCTTAGACTACAATTCCGCTTGATTCCAACCTGCAGCCACTCATTAGCAACCTTTGGCTTCTTCCTTGACTATGCTTCTGCTTGATTCCAACCTGCAACCACTCATTGCCAACCTTTGGTTTGTTGCTTGACTACAAATCTGCTTGATCCAAGGCTGCAACCACTTGCTACCGACCTTCGATTTGTTCCTTGATTATGCTTCTGCTTGATTCCAACCTACAACCACTTGTTACCGACCTTTGGCTTGTTCTTTGACTACAAATCTGCATGAATTCAATCTGCGACCACTTGTTACCGACCTTCGGCTTGTTCCTTGACTACACTTCTGCATGATCTCATCCTACGACCACTTGTTACAGACCTACGGCTTGTTCCTTGACTATGCTTCCGCTTGATCCTAACCTGCAACCACTTGTTACAGACCTTCGGCTTGTTACTTGACTATGATTCTGCTTGATCCCAGCCTGCAACCACTCATTGCCAACCTTCGGCTTGTTCCTTGATTACAAATCTGCATGATCTCAACCTACGACCACTTGTTACAGACCTTCGGCTTGTTCCTTGACTACGCTTCCGCTTGATTCCAACCTGTAACCACTCATTGCCAACCTTTGGCTTCTTCCTTGACTACGCTTCCGCTTGATTCCAACCTGCAACCACTTGTTACCGACCTTCGGCTTGTTCTTTGACTATAAATCTGCATGATCCCAACCTGTGACCACTTGTTACTGACCTTCGGCTTGTTCCTTGACTATGATTCTGCTTGATCCCAGCCTTCAACCACTTGTTGCCATTCTTTTTCCTATTTACTGACTACACTTCTGATTGACCCTTACCTGCTCTATCTGCTAAAGGATTCCAGCTTGCTCACCTACTGGTTGGGTGATCCTGAGGACCACGGCCTGGTACTAACATGCAGCAAAACTCATCTCCACCATCAGGAGCTCTGGTTAGTTCTTAGACCCCACACCTCAGGTAAGCCCACTTCATCCACCAGGGTGACCTGCTTGTAGACTTTCCCTGCTGGTTGGTGGGAGCCACTCTCTTGCTATATCTTCTGATCTCTGATCCTGACCCCTGCCCATGACGAAGATGGTGAAGATGCATTAACCACTTCCCGTCCGGCCCATGTATATAAATGGTCAGATGGGAGCAGTGCAGGAGCGGGTGGCCATTTATAAACGTCCTCCCCGCTCCCTGCTTGTGCGCACTCCCTGGGAGCACGCAGCACCGCGACCTGGTGCCCGCTGTGTCCTACGGACACAGTGGAACACCAATCATTGTACGTAACCTCTGTGTGAGGTCCTGATCATGTGATCACTGATTGGCCAATCAGTGATCACATGAATAGTAGTAAGCAAGATGTCACTTCTGAAATCTGTGAATGATCACAGAGGTCACATGGTACAGGGCTATTCACAACAGCCTTGTATCATGTGACAAGCTGTGACCAATCACAGCTCACATAGTAGTTCTCAATGGCTGCAAGAATGCAGCCAGAGAGAAGGAGAAATTATTGCTTTTACAGCCTTTATGGGTGTGTAAGAGCAATCAGTGTAAAAAAAAAAAAAAAACTTCATCACCCCCCACAAGTAGTACAGTGTCACCATGGTAACCCTGTACTGCTAGGGTGACAGTATGTTAAAAAAACATAAATAATAATACAAAAAAAAATAAAATAAAAATGTAAAAAATTTTTTAGAAAAATAATTTTTGGTTATAAACTAAGATTTATGAAGAAAGATTATTTACTTGCAAAATTTTATAAGAAAAACACTTTTTTTCAAAATTTTTGGACATTTTTATTTATATAGCAAAAAACAAATAAAAATCCCAGTGGTGAATAAATACCACCAAAATAAAGTTTAATGTCTCAAAAAAATGCTAAAAAATTCATATGGGTACAGTGTTGCATGACCGCGCAATTGTCATTCAAAGTGTGATAGTGCTGAAAGCTGAAAACTGGCCTGGGCAGGAAGGGGGGGGGGGGAAAGTGTCCGGACTGGAAGGGGGGGGGGAAGTGTCCGGACTGGAAGGGGGTGAAAGTGTCCGGACTGGAAGGGGGGGAAAGTGTCCGGACTGGAAGGGGGGAAAGTGTCCGGACTGGAAGGGGGTAAAAGTGTCCGGACTGGAAGGGGGGGGAAAGTGTCCGGACTGGAAGGGGGGGAAAGTGTCCGGACTGGAAGGGGGTGAAAGTGTCCAGACTGGAAGGGGGGAAAGTGTCCGGACTGGAAGGGGGGGAAAGTGTCCAGACTGGAAGGGGGTGAAAGTCTCCGGACTGGAAGGGGGTGAAAGTGTCCGGACTGGAAGGGGTGTGAAAGTGTCCGGACTGGAAGGGGCTGAAAGTGTATGGACTGGAAGGGGGGGAAAGTGTCCGGACTGGAAGGGGGGGAAAGTGTCCGGACTGGAAGGGGGGGGAAAGTGTCCGGACTGGAAGGGGGGGAAAGTGTCCAGACTGTAAGGGGGTGAAAGTCTCCGGACTGGAAGGGGGTGAAAGTGTCCGGACTGGAAGGGGGTGAAAGTGTCCGGACTGGAAGGGGGTGAAAGTGTCTGGACTGGAAGGGGGGAGAAAGTGTCTGGACTGGAAGGGGGGAAAGTGTCCGGACTGGAAGGGGATGAAAGTGTCCGGACTGGAAGGGGGGGGAAAGTGTCCGGAGTGGATGTGGGGGGGAAAGGGGGGGGGAAAGTGTCCGGAGTGGAAGGGGGGGAAAGTGTCCAGAGTGGAAGGGGGTGAAAGTGTCCGGACTGGAAGGGGGGGAAAGTGTCCGGACTGGAAGGGGGGTGAAAGTGTCCGGACTGGAAGGGGGGGAAGTGTCTGGACTGGAAGGGGGTGAAAGTGTCCGGACTGGAATGGGGGGGGGTGGAAAGTGTCCGGACTGGAAGGGGGTGAAAGTGTCCGGACTGGAAGGGGGTGAAAGTGTCCGGACTGGGAAGGGGGTGAAAGTGTCCGGACTGGAAGTGGTTAATAAAGAACCTCAATCCCAGCTTTCACCTTTGATCCCCTGATTATGTGATTGCTATTATTGGCTATGGCATATCGATCGCCCGTACAGTAAGCTGAAGGTTTTCTTTCGAAAACAATAAATGGTTTCAGTTTGCCCAAGGTAGCCTGTAGATGGCAGTGTGCCTCTGTTTAATACTGTAATTTTCTGATACAATTATAGGGAAAAAAAATCGAACGACTTGGCAATTCGACAAATCAGCAGCGTCAGGTTTATGATGCTTTTCATTTTTGAAGAAACGCACCCTCTTGCCCAGGTTTTCAGCTATTGTTTTGGACATAAAGTGGACTGTTGGAAAGGCGACGCAAGCTGGAGCTTTTTTTTTTTTTATTTGCCGTTCGCAGCACGCCAGAGCAACAATGGTGCCAAATTAACATTTGGAGTTCAAACTTTAGGCAGTTTTATGGGAGCTTGCAGGCTAAGCGGTTTAATTTTCTTTTAATCTCTCAGCTGAAACCAAATTCAACAAAAGTCGTTCAATTTATTATGTTTAAAGGGATATTAAAGTTCCACCAGATCAGCCGGCCCTCTATTTTTCCATCTCCCTTTACTGCGTGCTTCCTATGCGTACAATCTAAGGACCCTAAGTGTCCCTCAAGGGGTGTACAATCTGAGGTCCCTAACCCTCAAGGGGTGTACAATCTAAGGTCCCTAACCCTCAAGGGGTGTACAATCTGAGGTCCCTAACCCTCAAGGGGTGTACAATCTATGGTCCCCAACCCTCAAGGGGCGTACACTCTAAGGCCCCTAACCCTCAAGGGGTGTACAATCTAAGGTCCCTAACCCTCAAGGGTTGTACAATCTAAGGTCACTAACCCTCAAGGGGGTGTACAATCTAAGGTCCCTAACCCTCAAGGGGTGTACAATCTAAGGTCCCTAACCCTCAAGCTGTCAGGGGGCGTACAATCTAAGGCCCCCTAACCCTCAAGGGGTGTACAATCTAAGGTCCCTAAGCCCCTCAAGGGTTTGTACAATCTAAGGTCCCTAACCCTCAAGGGGTGTACAATCTAAGGTCCCTAACCCTCAAGGGGTGTACACTCTAAGGTCCCTAACCCTCAAGGGGTGTACAATCTAAGGTCCCTAACCCTCAAGGGGTGTACAATCTAAGGTCCCTAACCCTCAAGGGGTGTACAATCTAAGGTCCCTAACCCTCAAGGGGTGTACAATCTAAGGTCCCTAACCCTCAAGGGGCGTACAATCTAAGGTCCCTAACCCTCAAGGGTTGTACAATCTAAGGTTCCTAACCCTCAAGGGGTGTACAATCTAAGGTCCCTAACCCTCAAGGGGTGTACAATCTAAGGTCCCTAATCTTCAAGGGGTGTACAATTTTTTTTTATTATTATCAAAGGAAAACGGGCCCGAAATAGTAAAAAAAATATATATTTTTTTTAATTACTTGTTACTACCATAACCTACCACCAAGGAACAACCCAAAATAAATTTTCCAGCTGTTGACGATTGCAGCGATACCATATATGTGGATGTTATTTGTTGTTTGTACCCGGAGTACAGTCCAGAAACAATAGTGCGCACTTTTTTTTTTTCTCCCTAAAACACGCTGACACCAACACCAATTTGAAAAAAAAAAATGTAAAAAAAAATCCTGACCTTTGACCCTGACCTTTTGACTTTGACCCTGACCTTGACCCAAACACTTACCCTGGCACTGAACTAGATCAAACCTTGATCTAGGTATTTTTTCTTTATTTTTTAATATTTATTGATTTATTATTATTATTTATTTATTTTATTTTTTAACAAACATATTTTTTTCTCTATGCCACGAGTTAGAGAGATACTAGGGGCGGACTGACCATTCAAGCACTTGGGCACTGCCCGAGGGCCCGGGGTCAGTAGAGGGCCCCATGAGATGCCCCTGGTATCTTTCATTGGCTTTATCATAGGCTTTTTTTGGGTGTGGGCCAGGACACAGGGGCCCCATGATCCCCTATTGCCCGGGGGCCCCATGAGTTGTCAGTCCGCCCCTGAGAGATACAATGTATCTCTCTCCTCCATTCATAGAGAAAATAAATAAAAAAAAGGGGGGGGGGCTATACAGTGACTGATCACTGTGATAGCCAACCAGAGGCTATCACAGCCATCATGTGACCCAGAATCGGGAGTCCCGGGTCCCGATTGTTAGAACGGGATCCAGGGCTTTCAGTGACACCCTGGTCTTTGAGCTGGGAGCGCACAGTGCGGCGCGCTCCCAGCACAAAGACAGGTACATAAATATGCGGCCACACGAATAAAAGTCCAGTTCTGCGAGGCCACGTGCTCCTGCTGGAAACGTTCTTCAGAACGTTGCGCTTCCTGTTTTCTTTGTCACGGTGTGCTGGATGTCCAGAATGTCATTAAATCTGTGTCCTTCAAAGGCATTTTTTACGTTTAGGAAACATCCAAAAGTCACAGGGTGCTAAGTCAGGGGAATAAGGTGGTTGGGCCAAGTTTTGGAATGGATTTTTGGGCCAGGAACACTTACTGCATCATGTGCAGGAGCATTATCGTGGTGGAGAATCCACTCGTTGGTCCAGAGTTCTGGTCTTTTCCTCCAAGCAGATTCCCGTAACCTCTTCATTCTCCACATGTAGAGGCCTGGAAAGAGTCAGTCTGGGAGTGAGGTACAGAGGTCACCTCAGTACAGGCAGGGAGGTTCTACTGGTCAGGGCTTCTGGAGCTCTTCCACCCTTCCAGAAACTGCTGGAACTTTCAGTAAGAGTGGTGGAGGAGGGGAGGAGGCCCAGATTTGCATGTTTAAAGCGAACTTGGCCAATCCCAGGGAGGAAGCTGGGGATGATGGCTAAATCAACCCTTAAATGTGGCAGAGCCTGTGTAGTGTTGGAGTCAGGTGAAAGATGGACTAAGAGAAAATGCTAGAGTGTAGAGCCTTAGAGGGGGTCCCAGGGAGGAGGGCCTACCTACAGGCTGGTGCTGGATGGAAGGATCTCCACTGTGTGTCCAACTCCCTGGAGCCCTTTACCATTCTGGGGCTTGGTGTGCTGCTGGGGAGAGGGGTTGACTTGGCCAACTCCCTGGAGCCGTGAAGACAGGGTAGGAGCTAGGCTGTAAGGGACCGCCTGGCGGCACCACTAGCACTCCACTGGTCAGACGTCCCCAGCACACGGAATCTAAGCCCCAGGGTATGTGTTCACCAGGGCCCCTGATGGTGGGGATGGACTTGAAGTACCCTGAGACCAGGTCGTGGCTACTGAGTACACCCGTCAGTGGTAGCTTTACTCGCCAGGGGCTCCCTCGGGGAAGAGCCTGATATGAGGAGGTCGGGTGATCCCGTTTGGATGGATGGATGGCTGAGCAAGTGCAAGGTCAAACAGGCCGGGTCGGTAACTGAGGGGACGGAGCGGTACAAAGCAGCGGGCAGAGAGTAGTCGGGTCACACGCCAGGTCAGTAACGGAAGGTCAGATCTAAACGGGGGCATTCAGGAGAGAGGTCAGGCAAAGCAAGGGTCTGGGCAGGAGAAGGCAACAAGGTCAGGTACAATCCGGGTCAATAACTCACTTAGCACAGGATCGCAGATACAGGATACAAGGAAAGACCAGAAGGC